GATTGCGAGACAAGCTCGTTACCTGTAGGCTACGGGCCGACCCATTCACATTATTTGATTTGAATTCCGCTAATCAAGTGGTGACAAAAAACAGAAAAACATTGTGCTCACCAACATCCAGGAAATCGGGGTAGACCAATAGGCACATGGGTTGAGGTGGGTATTATGGTGAGTTTATCAAAAACAAGTTTAACTTTACTGCTGCTTATTTTTCGAAAAGTATATAATTCACAAATAAGTCCCGAGGGATCTGTTAGGCCTGGACATATTTTTAACCCGTATTGTACCACTGTTCCATAAATTTATATTTACTGGAGGTTGCACAGTGTAACAAAGTAAGCGAAAGCGACCAAAAAGTTGATTTCATTCTTCTTTTCAATGCAGTATTTTTAATTAGTTGATTCATTTGCAGTGTTTCAAGGCGGCTAACAACTTTTTCAAGGGGAGCGAAAAAAGTGGGTCGGAATCTTGTGGAAAGTGAGAGTTAGTAATTAAGAACATGTATGCGACAGCATGGTTAATTAAGGGGACCGGTATGGTTTCTCGTTTATTCCATGGAAGATCTTGATATAAATTAAGAGAGCTACTGCGTGTGTGAGCTCATGGCTACATTTATTGATTTGTCGCGGATACCACTAATAACTTCGGTGGTCGACAGGCTATCTTGACTTCTTACACGAAGTCCTGACTGGCAAAATGATGTTTCTATTATAACTTTCTAACGATTGTCAATCAGTCTGAAAGTATTTAGAACGCCTGTAACTCGGGTGGGGATGAAAGGGTTGTGTTGTCCTCCGAGCTGGACATTTTAACTGCAGAGGTTTCGTTGCCAAGCTAGGCAGCATTATCAGTGCGACTTTCAAGGCCGATTCGCAGAATCTAATAACCCACTGTCATATCCTAGTGATTACTGCTAGACCTCTGCTTTGGATGTCAGCCACTCTTACTTCGCATCTAGTCCATTTGACTTAACTCCTCCTCATAATTTCAGTCATAATTACATAGGAGCGTGACATAGCTGCGTAAAGTATATCACGGAATCTCATAGGGATCAATGCAGCATAATCATGCTACAGGGTACGGAGAGGAAGTTAGCCTCACCGGGTGCATCACTCAGCCGTACTGATTAAGTAGCAGTAAGAACAAGGTACTTTGTGAAACCCAACGGCAGTGTGAACTTAAGGATGCACAGGAATCTGGTTAACAGCTCGTTTGCTGCAGCATTTGCCTAATAGCGGTGCTCTGCCTTGTTGATGTTGTGTATGGATACCACTACGTCGCCCTGGAAGCGAACTAACAACCGACCTCCATAGAGAAGAATATGCAGAACTAGATGGAAAACAATACGAGCAAAATCAGCTTCGTATTAAGGAAGCTATAGTATTCAATGGCATGCAGTTTAAGACCAACCTGAAAAAGCACTTGGTTAGCTTCAGTTCATAAAACCGTGTCCTGGATGAATTCACTGTCAAAGGGTTGAGTACAGGCTCTCATTGGCCTCTTACTGCATACAAAACACTGCAGCCGGCATGTAGTTACAGTGAAGCACATAAAGTAACTGAGGGGCAAACTATGACTTAATGCTACGGTCAGTTCACACTCGTAATAAACTCTTTGGGTATTTCCGACCGATTAGGCACCATAAATCACCTGGTTAACATGCGTTAATATAGTTAGTTCTAAAAGTGTAGAGAAGTCTTAGACGGAGACTTTCTATTGTCCCACCAACGTGTTCTATTGTAAGGACAACAAATGCCACTTCTATAGGTGACTTAGCAAGCTCAATCTACAAGTCCTGATCTTACCTCAAATCCAAACAACGTCAGTGAACTGGGGAAGACGCTACCTTCGATTGCTCAGTGAGAATATATCAATAGATAAACAAAGACTGACTTGCTGATTTCTGTCAAATCAGAAAGTTTTGCGCAAAATAGGACAAAGGCTATCAGGGAAATGGACAAACATGCGGTTTTCAGACTGTCTGACTCCCCAGAGTAGATCAAGTTTGCATGTCCCTCCTATTCTAACCCCTACGACTTGTGAATTCGTCACATTTCTTCTTTCGAATGTACACACCAAAGTGTATTCAGCTTTAATGAGGCGTATAGTGATAGTGTAAGGACGTGAGTGACAGCAACAATTAACCCAACCAAATCAGCGTCTAGATTCTTTCGGTGATATCTGGACAGGAGGTGATGCCCATCAATGCAAACGCGTGGGATAATTACCACTGCTTGCGTAAGTGGACAGCATGATGAGTCTGTGTTCTTTACTGCCCGTTGGCATTGCTCCATGTTTTTTTCTGAGATTACTGAAAGTGACACCACAAATGTGTTTCTGGGCTACCTGAGTCACTGCAGTCTCATAGCACCGCAGTTGCATGGCAGTCCTCGCGTAGCTTGGACCAGATGACTTCAAACGGCAGTAAGACACAACTGGGAGTCTGTCACCCTACCTTAACTTCGCTCTGGCACTCCTATGCACTGATCACTATATCCTAATCCATAGAGTACCAAAGGGACTTTCGTACTCCAGTTTATGATGGCTCGACAACTTTCTCAATGAACGGTACCACAGTCTGACGTGGTTCGAATTGTGTCCTGAACACTACGTTGTTCCAGCTGCAACAAACGTTAGTATTTACTAATAATTTACCGGCAGCTGTCTTCCCCAATTGTGTATTCTCACTACCGCAAAGATGTGGTGAAAGGATCGGGCGAGCACATGACGCTGAAACATCATGATGAAGCCTCCAGCTACAATATCCAATGCAGGTAGCCATTCAACATGGACAAGTACCGACTTCAAGTCAATTCCACTCAATTCAAGTCAGGAATGTGCGCAATGTTGTCACCAATCCAATTGCATTTGTAGCCTTAGAAGGCAAAATTTTCAGACCTATTCCCGAGATTGACAGTTATCAACAATTATGAGACAACATTGATTGCTGGTGACAATCTGAGTTGACACCGAAAGTGTCTACCCGTTGTCTGAACCACTTATAGTTAAGCCTGAAGAGTTTGCCCATTCCGTTTCCCTCCTGGTATCCATTGTATTCACATGCCGCGAAGCTGAGTTCATTGTCTGAAACTCACAAACTCGATTGCGTCATATGCAATACTGGCAAAACTGAAGCTGCTCAAAGTTATTGTTGGGTGCTGCCGTGCTCTGCAGCGTGCTTTCATATAGCGTGTCACATATTTAGGTTTCCAAGTTATATACGCAGTTAGAAATTGAAGTTTAGCCACTGGGTCAAATCAAGAGGTGGTTGGATGAATACAGCTGAGTAATACAGCCGTGTTAAATACCACTGGAAGTGTTCTTCCCTTCTGTATTCAGTTGTCTTTGCACGTATAATTTGTTTTTCAAACTGTGGCTATGTATCGCACCTGGTCGCAAAATTCTATGAAAACTCTGGCTCCTTGAAACACTTTGTGAACATTTGAACTACCTGATAACTTTCATCAGTCAGAGTGTTGCAATCAAACATATAATGACAAATGCACGCTGTCAGCCTTCCTTAAGGAAACCTCGCCATAACAAACATTTGCTGTTTTCTAATCCCGTGACGAAGCAGTACTTTCAAATCTGCATTTAAGCATCCAAATTAGCTGAATTTTTACTTAATTGAGTTGTTGCTGTATTAGACCTGCCGTTTCGGTACAATAACAGGATTAAAGTTAGAAGACAACAGGTAGGTATGTTTTGGGCACTCAAGTGCATAACCGGCACTTGAACCTAAGAGATTGCTACTCGCCTCTTCATTTCAATAGTGCGACCATGTTTAGAGTACGGCTCAACCGCATACTGTATTATCAGCAGGGGCGAGATAGAAAAGAATGAGGGGGTACAACATGGGGCTACCAGGTTGATCCCCAGGTTACGAGTTGTGCTGTACCTAGATCGGTGAAAGAGAGTAGGGCTGTACACCCTTTTGTCAACTTCAGCTTAACATTAGCATGATGCAATCAAAATCATATCTTGCTGATTGCTCCATATTGAGACCACTGCTGCATATGCTCACACCAAGCAGCACACGAGAACACCGCAACAAGCTTGTAGTACCGGATTTGAAGCGGGTCGTCCACCAACTCTGTTTCGAACGGAGAGTGGTGAATATATGGAACAACGTCCCGCCGCCCGTAGTCCAAACACTGTCGGTGTCGGAAGTCAAGAAATTCCTGGACGAACACTTTGTCAATGGGAAATATCGTGAATGCTCTCTAACATAGTAATATTTTGTACCTGAAGGATTTTAGAGGAAGCTACACAACTCTTCTAGCGGCTTTCATCCCGTATTCAGTATTCTTTGAACTCTGGATTGCGGGGAATGTCGAAATCAATCCTGTTATTTTGGAGCATGCATTCTGAAATGGTGATGACCTATTTGGATTTTTATATGTATTGTATGCATCAAAAGGTGTGTTCAATAACAATTTAATTTACCAATATGTCTACGGAGCCGAGAAAGATAACAGTTTATTGCCATGTTGTTAGGGCATTGATCGAGTATAGTAGATGCGGTTTTCCCGTCTCATTCTAGCATCTTCATGTTGTATCAGGAGGTCAAAAGAAAACCATTTTGGCTTAGGTGTTATCGGATAATACCCTATTCTCGACTACATGCTCAAGTTCTGTGCACTGCTGAAGTCATGGTCCCATGATCTTATGTTAATGTGCAAAATACACTCACCATTACGAAGGTTGTGCACGGATGTGGCAGTCGACGTTCAACTTATCCATCCGGTGCAGTTAAAGCAAGTTGTGCTTAGTCATATCTATATAAAGCAGTTTATCTTCATGTCTATGTGGTATAATCCTCTGCCAGTAAGGACAACACTCTCCGTGAGCCCTAACATACATCAATATCAATTTATCTTTTACCAGAACCTGTAAAATAGCAAAATAGACGATTTATGACAATGAGATACTATTACTAACTTCCAGAGTTCCAGACAAACTGGTGAACACTTCCACTGAATGGGGTTTACTTTACTTACCTTTCTCAGTAGCAGTCGCTTTGACTCGTTTTGCGCTTTTGTGAATACAACAGGCAAAACATGACTGTCGATTAGACTGAGAACTCCTCGAATGTGTGCGCGATCGTTGAATCCCCTCACTTTTTGGTTTGTTGTCACTTGAATTTACGGTAGGTGGTTGCGGTGCTGGAGGCTTCGTACCTCGCTTCGTTGATCGCGCCTCGAACTGAGCGCTTGGCTTTGAGGTACCATATTCAATATTCCACATTGTAGACTGTCGCATAGGGCTACGGAACTGAACAGTGTGGGGAGCAGAAGTGCTTACTGGTGGATTGGGCTTTGGTGGGTATTGGTGACATTGATAATTCGTGAACTTTGTTTTCCAAAACTTATACTTCCGTCGGCAGGTGACCGCATCCATGTAATTTGCTAATCCTTGTATGGTGGCTGTGCTGGATGCTGGTGATGCACAAACCACCTGGGAGGCGGTACGCATTATCCGGTGTACATGGTAGCCAGAGTAATTCTGAAACCAACAGGAATGCAGCAATAATGGCAATAGTATTAGGGTAGTAGTAGGGTACATTTACGAATTAGCCTCATGAAGCTGCGCGTCGTAACCCCCATTTCAATACGTGAGGTTCAACCCTGGCAATTTGCGCAAGTTTCTTGCAGTCTTCATTGTTTGCCATCTAACTGCAACATACATTAGCGTTTCTTATTTTGTAGTCAATCTACCTTGTGCGTTGCATTCGTACAGGTGCGGTTTCCCATCAGTGGGTGGCATCTGTGCAGTTTGTGCATAATTTTTGTCAAAATGCTTGTCCTTTAGAGGCGACGGCTATCACTGCAACCGGTGCCAGTCTTTAATGTGCAAAGCCGGAAACTGGTTTTGAGTGTTCGCTTAGTTCTCAGCTCTCCGACAGCAACTTGCGACGACAATCCACGAAGTGCCAGGCATTAAAACCTGCCAGGCTTTTAATATGATACAATAGTTTATGGATGTGCAGGTAATACTCCTGCACAACGTCAACTTTGACTGTGTTAATTTCAAGACCAAGCGAGCTAGATAGAACGTCGAAATGCGCAAGTACCCTTACAGCAAACTGCTATATAGAATAAATACCACTCCAATTTGGATACATTCCTGGCGACCGTGTAGAAGTGAAGCGACGTTTGCATGGGAGACAAAGATTTTGAGGCATATTGCAATGTTGCTCACCTTATCTAGCATAGTTTTGATTAGCATCTGACCTTCAAAACAACCGTTGCACAATAAATGCCAAATTGTGCAAATTTGTGTGCGGTTATACCAGATGAGAGGTGTCGTAGTGACATTGTATTCAAAATGGTTTAGCTGTACGTTTCCACGGTTCTACTCTGGTGGTGGTGCTCCATCTGCCGGATAACACTGTGGCGATGAAGGTCAATGTGTATCACAGCCCCGGTTTACTTCTTTTAGTTTGGACGGCCGTCTTTTAAAGAACAGCTTCATCCATTTGATAAATGTGATCACTGGCGACCTTTTGTTATCAATACTTTAGCTAATCAGTTATTCACACCCTGACTGCGAGGAAGTCTGTTGCTTACTTATACAAACGTTGTTCCTAATGAAGCTAATTGTAGACATATTTTCCAATATCTGTGGCTGGTGCTTATATTTTTCGTGTAGTAAGCTTTGGATTGATTGACTGAGCTTAACTGTAGAAGAAGTCTGAATGTCCAATTCAGTGTCACCTTGTTAGGTCCGTTTGCCACTTTCTCAAAAGATATTTGTGGAATTACACGTTTATTCACCTTCATGCCAAATCTTAAGCATCGCCATGTGCTATACACCACATGGTCTACACGCCACGTCAAAACAGCCTTTTGACCTCTGTACTTAACCACGCTGGCGTCGAAGCACTTGACAGACATGGACAACTCGGAATGCACTTAGGTATCATTCACTCTGATATGCGTGACACATCAAGGCGCAACAACACAAGGCCACTGGAACAACCGGACAACGGACGTATGCGTTTCCGTCCACGTGCTCAATGCTTGACGCATCCATTCGCAACCACATTGCCATCTGAATGGGATTCACAGACATCATACAAGCACATAAGTCGCCCATTCGTGTATACATCAATACTTTGTGTACAATATTAGTATTTATATTAGTACCTAACGTTCTACCTTTGTAAGTAGTCACGCTTTAAGCAGCAATAATAATTGGTTACCCCGAGTGGAGATATATTGTACAATCCTGACATTTAGATGTTTATTTTTGCATAAAACACCATGGCTGTTCCATCACACCAGGCTGATTTCACACACGGCTCGCTACCAGACATTAGCCTGGTTTCTGTGAACCTGCCGCCTTTTTGACACTATGACCCACAGATACGGTTTACTCAGGTTCATGCAGTTTTCTCTCCGCAGTATCCCACATGAACAAACCATGTTTTATCATGTGCTAGCGGTATTGCCACTGGAGATTTTTGCTGACCTACGACCTATTTTGGCATCACCGGATGACACTAGCCTTATTCGAGGTTCAAATATGAAGTTATCCAACGAATCGCCGTTTCTGAACCTAACCTCTTCAGCAGTTGATTAGTGACAAATCATTTGACGGACGCACTCCTTCCCAGTTCTTAATACTTCTTCACAGTGTGTTAGGCGATCGCAAACGATGACGAGCTTTTTAGCAACTATTGCTGAAGCGTTTACCTATGCGGGTACAAGGTATGTTAGCCAGCAGCACTGAATGTATTCCTCTGACGCAAATCACTAGTATCACTGATAATATTGAAGAACTCCAGTCTTGCACAACTGATATCCACACCGTTGAAACACAGTCTACCAAACTCGATAAACGATCGTCTGGACGACCTGGCTAAACAGATAGCTGAGCTTTGGTTAAATCGACCAATACGACGCCGTTCTTCTCGTACTCATTCATCTACCAGACCAAGAAGCCTATCTTCATCGCGTGCTTCCACCACTTGATGATATTCATATGACAGCTATCACAACACCAATCGGTTTGTAGGAATTTTTAAGCATGCCAGTTGCTATAAGTAACGCTGCGCAAAGATTGCAACGTTGTATTGATCAGGCTCTTTCAGGTCTACCTTTTGTCTGCGCTTATCTTGATGCTATTTTACTTACATGTGCTAACGAAAGTGAACATTTGGCACATCTAGCAACCTTATTTAAGCCTTTTACCAAGTACGGAGTAGTTATCAATAGTAACAAGTGTGTCTTTGTTTCCTCTTGTTTAAACTTCCTTGGTCATATCATTAATAGCACTAGAATATTGCCAACCGCGCAGAAACTTGGAGTCATAAGAGACTTTGCCATACACATTTTCGTGAAACAGTTGAAAAGTTTCTTAGGCATGCTTAATTCTTACTTCTGTTTCATTCCAAACGCGCAAACATGTTACCTTCACTCACGAACATGTTGGTTGGTGCTCCGATGCAATTCCATTTCACGGACACCCCTACCCGAGGTTTCGAAGAGGTCAAATTTTCCCTAGCTACTACCATGATGCGCTTCTACCTGCAATTCGATGCTCCGTTATCGTTAAACGTTGACGCATCCAATACGGCTATCGGGGCTGTCTTGAAGCAGACCGTCGATAAAGTTCAACAATCACTTGGATTTTTCTCCTACAAGTTCACACCAGCCGAAACTCGTTACAATACGTTTGCTCCTGAGTTACTCGCCATATACGCAAGCATCCACCGCTTTCAACATCTTCTGGAAGGAAGACAGTTCGCCGTGGGTACCGATCACAAGTCTTTAGCACTCTCTTTCCAAGCTAAGCCAGACAATTATTCATCCAGTGAAGTACGTCAGCTAGCTTCCATTTCACAGTACATCAACTATATCCGCCATATTTCTAGACGAGATAACATTGTCACAGCTACACTGCCATGCCCGCAAGTGGGGTTGGTGATCGCGTCTACCATCGATCTGGAAAGCGTGGCGCAACTGCAAAATGACGAACCAGCTAAGCCGCAGCTCTCGCCAGATATCCAATCAATGCCTCTGCAAACTACACCAGTTACAATGGATTGTGATGTTTCCATGGCAACTCAAAAACCATTACTTCCTTTAACTGTGCGCAGAATCATTTCCGAGGCATTTCGTAACTTCTCGCATCCCGGCATAAGTACAACTGTCATACGGATCTCCGAACGCTTTGTATGGCCGAACATGAGCAAAGACATTCGCATATGGGCAAAGAGTTGAGTGGTATGTCAACTTTCCAAAGTCACTCTGTATACCCAATTGGACAGCGGATCCGTTGCACTACCAGAGAGCAGATTCGATCATTTCCACATCGATATCGTCGGACATCTTTCCTATTCCACTGGTAACTCTTACATTCTGACATGCATCAATTGTTTCACTCGATGGTCTGAAGCTATTCCCACTGCGGACACACGTGCAGAAACTATCGCCCGTGCACTTGTCAACAGATGGATAGGCGTTTTTAGCGTTCCTTCTTGTATCACTACTGACCGCGGTTTACAATTCAAATCCCAGCTTTTCCAACAGTTGACGGAACTATTGGACCGCAACCTTCATCCCACTCAACGATCACTTGGCTGTGCTTCCCTCTACAATTTACTCGTCTTTTCCTTGTTCCAAATCCCTTTTGTTTCTCTGGCTCAATACATATTAACTTTCAGATCTTAGATTAATAATGGGTGTATTTGGCACTTTGAGCATGTGACCATTCAATAGCAAACGTTCAATCTACTTTGCTGACTTCAGAACAACCTCCACAATCGCTTCAAATGGTAATACCGTCAGCATCAATGATTCACTCTATACCTATTCTCAGCAAACTGAATTCATAAAGCTTTCAAATTCGTCCTGGGGGAAAACACGTTCCAACACATATCTTTCTTCCATAACGATTTCGAGTTGAATCCAACGGGCGGAAATACTCCTAAAATGTACGTGCTTTCCCTAGAGTGACCAATCTAAAACAAACAAATATTATAACAAATGAGCACACATAGTGAGATGAGGTTAGATCTGGATTTAGTCACTCAATGGACCATCGAATTAACAAGCGTTCCCGTCCACTGGACCCAACTTGAAAGCATTATGGACTATCTAGAAAGATTTATGGAAGAACATGATTTCCTTAAATGAGGAATTTAAAAGCGCTGCGCATGCAATTGGCTGAGAAAAGGCATCGAATGATTCAATATTTACCCTTTGTGCTCACAGTAACTTACATCGCATCAGTGACCTGAAAATCTTGCACTGTTGATCAGCACGAAAGTCACACACATGGAAACCACTCGGTTCACGTGCCAATCGTTGTGTTCCTCCTAATCTTAAATCGAAACACGATGCCATCATTGTGTGTAATGCCCAAATACTCAACAGAACACGGGTCGTTGTAGACTCCAATTTCCGATTGGTCTCGTGTATCATTGCAATCGAAGTGACATCCTCAGTGCGTAGTTGCGTGGCGTGCAGTAGCGTAGAGCAGCGGAGCGGAGCCTCAGT